CTTCTATGCTTCACAAGCAAGAAGGTACCTAGTGAGCTACACAAGCTAACTAATTACAAGAGCAACTACACAAGCATAATGTATATGAAAGTAACTACAAGCTTGTATAAGGGGATTGCAAACCAATGGGAAGAACAATGTTGACACGGTGATTTTCTCCCGAGGTTCATGTGCTTGCCAACACGCTACATCCCCGTTGTGTCGACCGCTCACTTGGTGGTTCGGCGGCTAATTGGCATCACCCGACAAGCCCGCACGTTGGGCACCGCAAGAACCTACCCTGAAAGTGAGGGTAGCTCAATGACACGCTCAACTAGAGTTGCTCTTCATGGCTCCCGTGGGGCGAGCACAATGCCCCTCACAAAGCTCTTCTCCAGAGCACCGCACAAGCTTCTTACGGGCTTCGACGGAGACCACCACCAAGCCATCTAGGAGGTGGCAACCCCCAAGAGTAACAAGCACCACCGGCTTGCAACTCGATCATCTAGTGCCACTCGATGCAACCTCACGATGCAATCGCACTAGAATCGCTCTCTCACACAATCGGATGATCACTATCAAGCATATATGAGATGGAGGGCTCCCAAGCACTCTCAAGCATGGACAAAAAGTCCCCCAAGGTGCTCAACTTCAGCCATGGACGAGACCCCTTCTATTTATAGCTCCATGGGCTAAAATAGCCGTTACCCCTTCACTGGGCAAAACTCGGGACGACCGGACGCACCCTGCCAGCGTTCGATCAACGGATGGCTGCCACGTCATCCCTGGCTTCAAATACTGAGCGCCCGATCTCAACGGTTAAGTTGCAACCGGACGCAGCACAGTATATGACCGGACGCAGGACCCTAGCGTCCACTCACTTCTAGTAAGGTTCCACTCATGACCGAACATGTCCGGTCGGTCACAATCGGACGCAGCATCAGCGTCCGGTCCTTCTCCAACTTCTCTGTGTCGCCTACGCCACCGTACGTTAGCCTGACCGGACGCACCCTGCCAGCATCTGGTCACTTTCAGCGCTAGCATCCAGTCGAAGACTGATGCCTGCGCGCTCTCTGCTGCCACTGATCGGACGCAGGACCCCAGCGTCCGATCACCATGTGACCAGCGTTCGGTCCACTCTATGAGACCCTATCTTTTTTGTATAGGGCACCGGTGGCACCGTCGAACTGTCCACACTCTATGGGCGGACACTCCGTCGGTGAAGTTTCTAACCCTTGCTCAAATGTGCCAACCACCAAGTGTATCACCTTGTGCACATGTGTGTTAGCTTTTCACAAACATTTCCCAAAGGATTAGCCACTCAACTTGCCACGCCACTCAATCCTAGCGACGATGCAAAGTTAGATCACTCGAGTGGCACTAGATGACCGATATGCAAACAAGTTTGCCCCTCTTGATAGTACGGCCATCTATCCTAAACCCGGTCATCAACTTCTCTACACACCTATGACCGGTGAAATGAAATGCCCTAGGTTATACCTTTGCCTTGCGCATTCCATTCCATCTCCTCCAATGTTAATGCAACACATGCACCAACATGATCAACAATGATATGATCCACTTCATATCATCACGTGATCATATTGGTTCATCGATCTTGACTTCACTTGCTTTTCACCGTTGCCTTTATCCATCGGCGCCAAGTCTTGCTTAAGCTTCACCGCCACACGGTCCATTGCTCCAAAGCCTCCAACTTGCACTTTATGCTTGCAACCAGTCCATCAAGCCAAGTCATGTCTTGATCTTCTCTACCTTGATCACATGACTCAATGTCATGTCTCATTTGCAATGAGCTCCTTCATCATCACATGTGTGAGCTTTGCAACATCTCCAAGCCATTTTCACCTTCATGGCATATGTTGCTCACACACATGTACCTGTGGACTAATCACCTGTGTATCTCACGTAAACACAATTAGTCCATCTAGGTTGTCACTCAATTACCAAAACCACACACGGACCTTTCACTAGCCATGAGCATTCCACTAGAGTTGCTCTTTGTGATCTCCCAAGGGGACAAGCGCAAGAGCCCCTTACAATCAACTTGATTGGAGGTGACCAACAATTACAAACAAGCCCCTCAATGATCCTCCAATCATTGATCCATCTAGGTGGCACCAACCGACAAGAGTAATAAGAAATCCATGGTTCAAACATTGAACTAGTGCCACTAGATGCAAATCAACTAAGCTAATGCACTAGATCTCTCCCAATCTCACTTTGGATCAAGCAACTAGAAATGAGATGAGTGGACTCAAGAGCTCACAAGAGTGTTGGATCATTTAGAGTTCCATGTGAATGCCCTAAGGGCTAGCCAACACCTATTTATAGAGCCCCCCTCAAAAAACTAGTAGTTTGAAGAGCTATAGGCTGGTTGTTTCAGGGTCACTGGAAAACTCCGGTGACCACCGAAATGCCACCACCGGAGCATGCATTAATAAGATCAACAATTCAGATTTGATTTGAGATTTTAAATCCCGAGCGCTTTCTCTGGAGTCATCTTAAATGTACCCACAAGATAAATCCAATGCAGCCTTGTGCGCTCAGTTTGAGGCAAACTAGCCGTTACTCCCCAACGGTCAAAAACCCTTTGCTCTATTGCCTCTCCGGTGCCCCACACTAGACAAATATGGTTCGTTCAGAACCTTACTAATGGCACACCCGAGACGTACAGGCACCCACCGAAAAACTCAAGTGATGCGTCATCGGAATTTCAGTGCTCCTGTTCAAAACTCCCACTCGGTGAACACAACGCATGTTCCGGTGCTCTTAGTTGGGCAACCACTGTACTTTTCCTGTGAGTAACCCTAGGCACAACCGCTGCACATCTTCTGGTGACCTCCCCTAAGGGCACCAGACTTTTCCAATGAGGATAGAAAACTTGTCCTAAGTCCCATTTCTCGCAAGTGTCTAAAATCCACTAACTCCAATATGTTCCAACTTGAACATCTTCACCTTAGGCACTGAGTTAGCTTCTCAAAACATTTTTCACTTGCATCTCACCGTGTCACTATGTCCAATGCATATGCAAAGTTAGTTCACACCTAGTGGCACTTAGATAACCATTTTGCATTAGAGTTTTCCTCTTAATAGTACGGATATCTATCATAAATCTGACCACATAGTTTATTTCATCTCAGTCGGCAAAAGCAAAGCCCTAACAAGTATACCTTTGCCTTTGAGCACTTGATCAACTTGTGTCCATCTCCATCTCTTCCATGGATGCCATCTAGCTCAACCTTGGTGTGGACATCATCTAGTTTAATCATTACTCAAGACAAAAGGTTAGTCCAGTAGTTGTCACTCAATTACCAAAACCAAACTAGGGCTTTCACACGGCCACCGAGATCCATTTGCATCGCATTGAGCTCGCAGAGACGATCTCAACCTTGGAGATTGTGGAACAAGAGAAGGGATGAAGAAGAGAGCCAAAGCGAGAGAAGAAGCGGTGTTGCGCTGTGGAGAGGCGAGTCGGCATTGTCGTTGGGGAGGAGGAGGTGGCCGGAAGTGTCAGCAGCAGGGAGGTGGGCCAGTGACGGATAGGGACGGGTTGAGGAACTATCGGCAGTGGAGGGCTTGTAGAGGGGCCGTAGTGGAGGGGTGGCGCGGTTGTGGAGGAGTCAAAGAAGGGTGTCACGGTGGTGGAGGGGACGGATGACATGGCATCAGTGGAAGGAGGCAGAGAGCAGCGTGGGGAGGGAGAATACCGTCCGGGTGGGAAAGAGATTAAAGAAAAAAAAAGACAACTGATGAGTGGGGTCCATGCATTGGTGATGGGTATTGATAATAATTTATAAAAGTATCTTCCCCAATAAATCTAAAAAGCAGTATTGATGCTCACCTTATTTAGGATGGATTATTGGTGCTACTAGAGTTGCTCTAAGAACCTAGATATGGCTTTTTGGTCAATGACTGTAATGTGCTATTAGGTGATGTAGTTACCACCAAGTTGATGGATCCTTAATGCCACAACATAACAGTAATTCGGTGATGGTTGAAAAGAAAAAAAAATGTGATGCAGTAGAGGATCCATCTAATCTGGTCTATCTAATGTCTGTTCAGGAGTCAGAGGAAATGCATCTGAGTCCCAGGTAAACCAATTAGTAGTTATTAGAATTAGATGTTAGCATGCACTCGTGGATCGACTCAGTGGTGATCTAGCCCTGCGGTTCACCTTGCTTGTAGATGACTGAGTGGTAATCGCGCTCCGTGGCACTGTATATGTATCTGTAACTCAGCTAATACAAGTGCGGTTCGAACCATTCTTGTTTTTACATGGTATCCGCCATCTCTCGATTTCACGCTTCTGCTGCCCTTCTTCTTCCTTTCACCACCACCATGGGCTCTTCTTCCTCCTCTGCCGCGTCTTCGAAAACGGAAGAAGAATCTGGCCTCCCCAACACCGCCCAACTCCGCTCTGATCCTGCTCCCTAAATGGTGGTCCAATCCATCAACATCCACAACTCCACTCTGATCCTGCTCCCTAAATGGTGGTCCAATCCATCAACATTCAATCCTGAGTCCCCATCGTCTTGGTCTTGGACCTCAATGACGAGAACTACACGGCCTGGGCACGCGCGCTCTCCGCCGTGGTCGGCCAGTATGGCCTAGGTGACCACGTCGATGGCTCCCCGGCCAAGGGCGACTCCAACCGGGTGCAAAACGACTGCGCCATCGTCTCTTGGCTCTACAACCGCGTCGCTCCCTCCTCAGCATGGTCTCCGACGACGCGGACTCCGCCCTCTCTCTGTGGCGCGGGATTCGCGGCCCTGTTCGTGACAACAGGTCGTCTCGGGCCGTCTACCTCAACGCCGAGTTCCGCCGCTTCTTCCAGGGCGACATGTCGGTGCTCTCCTACTGCACTCCCATGAAGACCATGGCCGATCGATCGCCTGGCCAATCTGGGCGCCCCCGTCACCGAGCCTGATCTCGTCCTCAACATTCACTCGAGGTCTCAGCCCCAGCCTCACAGCCTGCATCAAGCTGTCCCGCACATCACCATGCGCAAGCGCCTCCCCTCCTTTCTCAAGACCCAACTTGAGGAGCACCGGATCGGCAAATCCGCCAAGCTGCAGGCTGCCGCGGAGCTCCTCGCTCAAGCCCGATCCATCAACCTGCCGTCCCCACTGCCGCTCGGCACCGCGGGTTCCTCTTCGTCCAGCACCGTCTACCGCCCGCCCGCACCAGCGTCACCGGCCTACCGCCCACCAGTGATGGCGTCGACACCTTCCTCCTCCAACAACAACAAGAAGAAGAAGCCCCCCAGCAATGCTGCTTCTTCCTCGACTGCCCCACCTGCGGCGCAGGCCGGCTTCCAGCCTGGCATCAACCCATGGACCGGGCTGAACCATTCTTGTTCTTACATTAGAGAGTTCATGGCTGACACTCATGGACAAAGGTTTGATTTACCTATTCAAAACAATTTATGCGAGGAACTTTGATTGACAGAATGTATAATTTCCTGCTATGGAGCCCGAACTGCCAAACCTCTGTTTGTATTCTAGGACACAGAGTCCGGGACATTATCTAACAATGTTGTAAGTGCTGATATAAACTATAGAGAGCAATCCGACATTATGCACCCAAGAGACATAAAAGAAGTGCTGTATGTTTGCCATTGAACTGTGGCATTTTATGATACACATTACCAGCCCAAGTGGTAGGGATTGGTATTAAAGGTAAGTATAAACTACACCCTATACGTGATTGTACAAAGAATAAAGTATTCAGAACTTTATTCCAGTAACATCTCCTATAACTTCCCCATCAAGAACCGGCAGAAATATACATCCAGGCAGATGGGTCAGTAGCAGATGACTCCTAATCTATTCGTATATCAGTGTCGGAAGGATGACGACCTTCTTGATGACATGGAACCTGACCTTGATGTGATCAGCGCATCAGCAAATTTATGGATCTCAACATCCTCAGGTATGGCCTTGCTACTATCAAGGCGAGCGCTGGGACCAAATGCATTTACCTTTTCCTCTCTAGAAGATACACTCTTGACCCCAGAATGATCACTTCTTTCACCTACAATTTCTGTGCCAAGAGGACTAGATTTTGCGCTGTCCAAAGAAGAATGTGTACCAAAGCCATGATCACCATGTCGTTGACTATCAGGTATGTTTGGTTCTGCCATGAATGAAGAATAGCTATCATGTGAATCCCTTCCAGTGAAGTCATCGAATGAACAACTTGAAATAGACACTCTCCTCTCCAGAGTAGAAACTTCACGGTTCTCCTTCCCTTTTCCCAGCACCAGTTTCCGAAGCTTAGAGAAGAACTTTTTCTTTTTTGGGGTTTTATTATTATGCTTTGTCATCGAAGCAATATCAATTGATACATCATCCAGTTCACCTGACGAAGCCCGTGAGGAAGAGCACTCTGAACCAAATTCGACATGGCCCAAGTGACTGTCCTCTGCACCCGCATTGGCATATTCCATTATCAGCTGCTTGGCCTTCAGTTCAGATTTGGGGCTCAGGGTCTTGCTAAGATCTCGCGCAACAGTCTTCCCTGATGGAGCATCCTTGTTTCTCAGCTCATACCGTAGGCAGGCATTTATCCATTTCAGATATACCAATTCTTCAACATCTGCAAACCTGTGACTCTGAAGTTGTTCAACCTCTTTAGCCAACTTATCAGTTTCTTGCTTCAATCGATCAGCCTCCTCCAATGCTTTTACCTGAAACTATTATTAGTTATTCAATTCCTGATGGAACAACAAACTATCAAGAACACAATGAAGTTAAACTAACATATAAACAATTATTTTTGTGATATAATAATGTGTTTCTTCCCATTCACAAAAGAAATGTCGAGAACACCATGTCCATTTTAGAAATGATCACTCCAAGAGATGATTAAAATTGATTTAGTAAGTGCCAGCTACAATACAGTCCAAGAACAGTAAAGAATCACCTCCATGCTATTTTTGGGCTTGGGTACAGGGGGTAGGCGTGTAACCTCCAGTCGCCTAATAAGATGTGCATTCTCCTGCTGCAGCCTTGAATTTGCAGCTCTTAGCTCTGTTGCCTCCTTTTCCAGCTCCTCTAGTCTCTTCAGTTTCTTTTCAACCTCAATATGATTTTTCTCCTCATCAGTCTGTTTGTGCTGCAATGAATCGACCATTTTCTGAAGGGAAGTGATTTGCTCCTTAGCCTGTTCTGCATCTGATATCAACTTCTTCTTCAGCAACTTGCACTTTGTTCTTGTCGCCTCAAGCTCAGAGATTATCTTTGAGTTCTCTGACAACTGTGTTTGCAGCCTCTGGTTTTCAGACTGTAAAGATTCAATCTTCAACAAGTACAACTTTGATTCGACATTGTTAATCTTCAACTGATTCTCAAGCTCCCTCACTGCAGCATCTTGCTCCTGCAAACCGTAACACTCCAGAAGCTGTAGCTCCAGGGTCTTCTCCCTTTCTTGCAGTGATCTCACCAAATCTCTAAGCTTGTGGACTTCATGGTCATTTGATACATCTTCCCTTACTCTCGCTGCAGGTGTAGTTGGAATGCTGTCTATATCTCGGCCAAATTCATTGAGAACCATTTCATTGAACTCTGGAAGGAGGTACCCTTCATCATCAGCAAGGCTTCTGCATTTGGGGGCCAATGGTACTAGTGCTGTGGTGGTGGTTGTCGTAGTGGTAGTGGTCGTGTGCACAGAGTTCCCACTGATAATTTTTGCCTTGGTATCCTCCTCCACAAACAAAAACCGAAGTGTATGTAAATGTCAATAGTGGCATTTTTGTATCATATTCTTTTCATTGCATGGGGTAGTTCTCGGAGATGCAGTACAAAGAAGAAACTCAATGTGAAGGCAATTTGTATTTTGTCAGGGGAGAACCGGAAGATAAACTACCCATAATCTTTAAAGCAGGGGGAGAAAAACATTGATGCGTGCAGTACTGTAAAATTGAAAACTTAACCTTGCTTTGCAAGATATACTATTTAAAGAAGTGAAGAGGATCATCTACTAGCACATTTTTTATTTTTTATGGGCAATAATATTATATCACCTAGCACTAGCAGTCTAGAGAAAGATTTTAATCCCTCAAGAAGACAAACCGCCACTATTCAGAACCAAAAAAAAAAATAGCACTATGAAAATGCAAAGTTTCAATCGTAGGCCACAAATAGTACGCAGGGGTATCATGAATTACTCAGCTAAATCCTTACATTTTTTAGGATCCTCAGCTCCTTGAGCCCTGTTCTGGCCTTCATGCTGCAAGCATCATCCGACTCTACAAAAACACAGGACAAATCATCACCAAATTTCATCTAGCACAGCACATAGCGAGATTGACAATCAATGCGCCATGTTGACAGGAACTTGCACATCTGCTCATTGCTGGTACCTGAGGGAGGAGGAGGAGGTGGCGGCAGCAGGAGCTGCCGGGGCGGCCGCTGGCGCCGCGAGAAGAGCAGCCCGGCGACGGAGAGCGTGACGGCCGCGCCCACCCTGAGGAATAGTTGGGGCAAGTCCTTGGCGTCCCCGGCGCTCGGCCCACCAACGCCGCTGCTGCTGCAATCACGAGGGTTGGGCATCTGACGCTGTCTACCTCCCAAGAAGAACAGAAGCCAATCGAGAGCCACGGAGGTGATGAGAATCCAACCTTGTCGGTCGGTCACAAAAAGAGCATCCTTTTGCGCCACGAGAGGTGGAGCCCGGAGCCAAATTCAAAAAAATTGGGCTCGAACGAGACCACACAAGGGTGTGGTGAAGAATCTGTTCTTGGAGGGATGAATTTTTTGCAGAAAACCAGAAAGCGCGTCAGGAAACGCGAGCTCCGGCACCTGCAAGTGGCCGGCTATACCTCCATGGCGTGGAGCCGAGCAGACTAGGGGAAGAACCCAGCCTAGCAACCAACCGGAGCTGCCCCTCGAGAAATTTGTCCCGGGGTGATCTCCGGGTGAGCTAAAATTAGGCCGGCGTGCTCCGAATTCAGCTCACAGCCAACAAAAGAAGGTCAAGGGAGAGAGAGAGAGACAGAAAGAAGGAGAAGGAAGACGACGACGAAGAAAGGAAGCAGGACAAAATTGGGGGGTTCGTCCCTCACTTTTTCAGGTTGTTCCGTTGGCTCGTTGTTTTCCTCAAACGCAGGACAGGACTACTCCAAACGACGCTGGAATCCGAAAACTAGTTGGCCCGCAGCCGCCTCCTCCTTCGGCGAGAGCAACAGGAGAGACGACGCATCGTCCGCTTGCGTTGCGCCACAGTGCCGGCCACCTCCTTTCGCCCCTTTCTTTTATTTATTCGGGGTTCTTGGCATCTGCTTTGCTTGCCCTCTCCCGTCACCTTCTCGCTGATTCCACAAACGGCTCTTACCCGGCAACACCAAATAACATGCAAAGCGAAGTGCCCCTGCTAATCTCCTCCCTCCACGGCACGGCGGCGAGACGTCGCCGTCGCCGTCGACTTCGCGTTTAATTCCGCACGCCAGTGGGACGGTGGGATTCATGGCGAGGAGGAGACGAACGCGTGAAGGCTGGTGACCGCTGGGATGATTCACGGTTGGGGGTTCCACGCCACGCGATCCCGTCCGCCCGCCAGACACTGGGTGGGCTGCGAGCGAGAACGCGTGTTTTGCTTTGTTTGAGCGGACCGGCGATTGCCGGTCGATCGCTCCACGTGTTCGCATGGCGAAAAGAACTAATGCGCTTTATTTAGAGGCGTAAGCACGCTCTGCGTGTCAGACAGAATAATAGACACGTCCACGGATATAATTCAGCAGTTGGAACTAACCTGCCTATCATGTGAAGACTGCAAGTTGCGAAGTCATGATTCATGTTGTAGGCAGTTATATCACAAACTTAAGGGGTAGGCACTTATATCAACTCCAGGACCCCTAATTCGCTCTTCAGAACAAAATTTAAGAGCTTAAGAGGGGAAAAAAAGTCCTGTAGGACCTCTACAAAAGCTCTCAAATTTCAGGGGCCCTCAAAACCCCTCCAGTCCTCGTCATGGGCTCTCATCCAAGACCCTAAAATAATCGTTTCAGATGGTTACTCCTTCCGCGTGCGAATTCTTTCCGGTCTGCTCAAGTGCCGCCTTGCCTATCCATGTGTGCCGCCTTCCTCATCCACTCGAGCGCGCGCCGCCCTTCCCTGTTCCGTCCGCTAGTCCTCCTTAGTTCGGTAGCCTCCCAGTGTTGAGCCCTCCCTGCGCGACAGGCATATCTCGGAGGCACGGGCGGGCTCCCAGCCTGGCCCACATCCCCGCCGGAGCCTCCCCAGCCCTCCTCGCTGGAGGCCCTTCCAGGCCGCGGCTCTCCCTGTTGGAGCCCAATGCCGCACCCCTCCTGGCCGGAGCCATTTCCCCGGTCATGCCCGTCACTGTCAAAGCCCTTCCCGTCTGCCAAGCATAGCATGGTCGTGTTTGTTAATTTGGACAAGATAGGAAAGAGGATGCAAGTGGGTCATATGTGCCATTCTCTTGTTAGAATGAATCTGAGGACCTTGTTTGAGGACTCTTCCTAGAATGCAGTCCAGAAAACAGGACTCTTAAAAGTAGGGAAACCCTCAAATAAATCATTCTCTTGTTAGATTGAATTTGAGGACTTTGTTTGAGGGCTCTTCCTAGAGTGTAGTCCAGAAAACAGGACTCTCAAGAGTAGAGAAGCCCTCAAATAAAAACCGATCCTGTATATTGACGGAGTTGCTATATAGCACAAAGAACCTCATTCTGAATATAGTGACGCACCCATAATTCTGATAAAAATAACTCTACTTCTCATATTTATAAATTAACTATTAGTTTGTGTGTAATGAGACAGAAGCAACTCATCACATATCATAAACAAATAAAAAAGAGCTGAGGAATGGCAAGACGATGGACTAACACCTTCAAACCAAACGCGAAAATAACTAGAGTAAGAGCATCTCCAAGAGACTTGATCCATCCTAAATAGAGATCGTGGTGAAAAACTACCCCAACAGCTTTTCTAAATGGTCATCTAAATATAGTCATTTTCTATTCTGAATTTTTCGTTAGCCAAAAATAGAAGACGAGAATAACTCTGCGTATGAGATACAGAAAAACTATTTGAGAGTAAAAATTTATAGAAAACGATTTTTATGCAAATAGCTCTCCAAATAATGATTTAGAGAGTGAAATTTAGAAAGACTATCGGAGATGCTTTGATAGTGTATCGTGATTAAATCTAGATTTGTCCCGCAGTTCAATTGGATAGATCATACCAAACTGCAACCTTCAACAACATACACGCCCATTGCCCAAAAACAAAAATACACAAACTTAGACAAATACTGAAAAAATTAAGCTTTGTGAACGCCTGCATGACAACCAAAAAAAAAATCAATCCTCAACAAAAACAAGCCAACCAAGTACCTGATCCATATATACAAAAAAAAAAATAAAGCAGCAACAAATCTTTCCCAAAAATTCTAACAATACAACAACCATGCGAAAAACTGTTTTTTATACATAACTAAAAACTAACATGAGACTTAAAATAAAAAAAAACTATTTTTATTATCAGACCTGAATCACTGAAACTGGGATTGGACATCTGGTCTTAAAAACTCCATCTTGTTAACTTGATGATGCCTAAATGAGAAATATTATTTCTTAAAGAATGGCCCAATTTCTTCAAAATGTAATAAAATATTTAATCTTAAACCCCAATTTAACATAATTCAAACATTACCTGCTTATTCAAAACCCCTACTTGGGGGTAACAGTAAAGTTCACAGGCCAAAAATATCCTTGCTGTCCAAATTACTATATCATGGGCTCTTAGTAGCACAATGAATTTCGACTTGCCATAGAAATTTTTAAGCAAGAACTATAACAAAACAGAAGCAGGATCATCACGGCAACATATGGCAACTAGATCTTGAATAAACATCAGCACGTCAACATTTGTCTTAATCAACCTTAACAGGAAAAAGAGGCCTCTATTTGATGCCTCGCCCCTTTTCCAGCTCAACATCAGTGCAAAAGACAGAACACTTTAAACAAAAAAAAAGTATATATGTTTCCCACCAGCTCTTGGAGATTAGCTTAGGTTATCTATAATTCTATGGTGTCTAAATCCTAAACCCTACAATGAATGGATCAACTAAACCCGTTTCATATGTACAAGGAAAACAAAGTTGGGTGAGTGACTGGACAAAAGGTTAACCATGCACTGTAAGTCATTAAGTCTATATAGGCAGGCAACTATCAGCATTCTACTTTGTACATGCTTCCCCTGACTGGGCGAACAAAGAACCAACTAACTCCCTAGCCTTCCTTTTATCAACTCCCAAAAAACTTGAGTTGCATTAAGCTCTCCTCATGAGCACTCCTGTTATCCGGAATGCTTTCACTGCCAAAATATTGTTGGGTCATTGCTATAAACTGCGCGATCCTGGATCTCCAAGATAGATACATGCCAATCAACAAGCCTTGCTTGAATGCATTTGCATAGCACAAGTCCTGTAGGGAATAGCCACCAGCTGGTTTCCTCCCTGCCAAGAGTTCCGAGGTTAAGGTTCCTAGGTAAAAGATATGGCAGACCAATGGCAATATGGCATTCAGGTACAGGGAGGAAATAAACACTTACCCGCCAAAATTCCATGGCTGCATGCTTGGATGTTTTTTGTTTGATGACTTATAATGCAGAAATCCACATACAAAAGCCACAACCTGCGAGTGATAGCACTTGTAGGTAAAAACCATAAAACATGATTCCTATTTTTCTTTAGAAAAAAGGAATATAACATTCCACCTCCAACATTCACAAGTAAATGTGTGCAGCTAATTACAACAGATTTGTAGTACTTAGATTACACTCCACCAAACATGGTACAAAACACGGAACAAATAAAAGAGACTAAGTCCCCATCATCCTTCTTCGATACACAACTTGCTGAAGAGCTTCAACCTCATTGCCTCCATCAAGCGACTGTATTCCTCTAGTGAAAACAGCAGCACTCAGAGCATCACATCGATGATTGATAGGAAAGAACTCCATCAAATACTTCGACATTCTCAACCGAGTTGTCATCTTGCCACTGGCCAAAACCTATAACCTCCCTCAGACCTCCAAACACCGTCTAGCGGATCAAGAAACAAGGAAAGATACATTGCTGAAAGCCGTCCGATGAAAGCATCAAGACGAGTACACACCTACAACAGGCCATCCCAAGCTACCAAGAGAGATAGGAAGACCACATCCTGTACAGAAACATAACAAAGGAGCAGTGGCAAAGCCACACGGCAAGCATTGGAAGTGCCTAGCGACGCCTTCAGGAAGGTAACGATGTCAAAGACACCGACAATGCTAGCTGACAATGGAAAGGTTTTCACCAGCAATCACCAACCGGATGGGTAGAAGAGGTACAAAGAGGATGCCTCCAAGGAGAATGTGGCGTCCTAAGACGTCGCCGTCTGAGCTTTCACCCTGATCTCACAGAACCCACCTACCCAGGTTGCCCATCTGAAGTCCAGACGCTAGTGACATGGGCTTTCCCTGCCACTACGCCCACCACGTGCATCCTCGCTGTCGTTCTCCGCACCAGTCAGGAGACCGCCACCGACCACAACTAGGAGATGGAGATAGGGAGTGGAGAAGCGACGGGAGGAGACGACTGTGCCAAGTGGCGTCCAGCGCTAGTGCCACCCCAGCAGAATCCATGACCTGGGCCACCGCCCTTGGGTCCACCAACGCAGACGGCACTGCAGGGGCTATGTCAGCCTCCTCTCCAGCCATCGTGCCCGCAGCATTCACGGCCTGGAAACCACAGCAGCAACCCCCAAGCCAATCTACGAGGAACAGCACCGGAACCAGGGTTAGACACCAGATCCGGTCAAGGAGGCACCAGATCTGGCCACCACCGAAGGCTGCCACCAAACTCCACCGTTGCCATGGTTGCCGTCAAGCTTTATGGGAGGAAACAGATGGGAAGAGGGAAAAGGGCCCCGCAGCTGCCGTCCTTGCGGCCGCACGGGCTTCCGGCCGCGTGCTCAAGAGACGGCAAGGCAGGCGGAGTAGGGGAGGGGTGGCCACAGAGGCAAGTACATAACACGTTTCCTGTAGCTACCAGCTGCAACCCAGCACACACCCATGGAGGAGAGGCTGAAGCGATGACATCGTCGAGCCGCTGACAAAGACGGCGAAGGAGGTCGATGCCACGCGTGGTACCGGGCGCATTGTGGGCAGCCTTCGCTACCTCGTCCACACACACGCGGCCAGACGGCTGGACGTTCGCCGTTAGCTCGTCGCCACGGTTCATCGCAGCGAGCACAAGCCGGCACGACGAAGCACGAGCAGGCGACAATTTAGTCAAGAGGATCCTCCGCTACGTCGCGGGCACTTCCGACTCACGGCTTGCACTACCATCGAGGTGTCCCGGTGCGGAGCACTTCATCGGACTTTAGGTCCATCCTTTGTGTTCGTGACACTCCCGCTTAGACCGAGGGAGGTGTTAGAATGTAATTATAACAGCCGACCCATTGCGACCTCCGGGCGACATCGACACAAGCAAGAGCACCGGTAAGAGAGATGGAAGCTATTCTTCCTCGGAAAAGCGCCTTACGTGATCAAAAACAAGAAAGATCCATTCTTGACTCACGGCAAGTGTCTAATCAGTGGCGGTCGGTCAAGCGTCCACACATCGCAAAGTGGTGGCTCTGTCTGCGTTGCGCTAGGTGAAGTACGCCGCTGCCACAACCGCTTGACTCAAGCTCTCTCGTTGGCTCGGCCTGCTGCTAGGCGATCTCCGGGGAGGCAGAGACGCAGCCCAGTAGTGGAGCTCTCGAGCTTTATGGTGGAGATGACAAAGGGCCGCGAAGTCCGCTTTGGCCTTGGCGAAGAACCCCGTCTTCCATGAGCGCAAGCAAGCATATCCGAATCAAGTACCACTTCATTAGGAGCTGCTTGGATGAGGAGAGCATCAAGGCCGGCTACATCAACACCTCCGAGGATCACCACTACCCGGAGGTGTCCCGACCTTCTCACCAAGTCTCTTGGACGGGTCAAGTTCCAGGAGCTTCGCGCCAGGATTGGGATGGTTCAAATTCCCCAGAAGGCGCCAAACAAGACTTAGGGGGAGAATGACAGCTATAAGTCTTATCCTTATCTACTTAGGATAATTATCTAGAGTAGTTGGTGGCTGTGTCAGCCCTTATCTTTATCCCTAGCATCTACTTTAGCATCTCTAGAATAAGCTGTAGTTTTCTTAAGGCTCAAGCAAGCTATCCTATATGTATCCCCAACCTGCCATAGTTGTGGCATGCCTAATGAAATCTGAAATTCAGCCCCAAACCTGTGTTTTGGTTCTAACAACTTCAACCTGACAAACCACTGGGGAAAAAAAGCACTACTGAGTTTTACATGATATAAATTTGTGGGTAGGAATAAGGTTCTCAGCGTTCAGGCTCTATACTTTGCTTATGCAAGTATGTGACGATGTTCATGCTAGAACTCCTAATGGCAATATGGATTCCCCAACAAATGCTCAAGCAGACAGCAATGATTAAACTCCCTATGATTCTGAACTTAGCAACCTAATGAGCTTGTTAGAGCGAAAGTCCAGGTATAGGCAAAGATGGATGAGTACTTACAACATTAACCAGTGATGTAATATTCCACAAGGCATAGACACGAGCAAGACCAGCTGACCGCCTCTGTCCATGACTAAAAAGAGCATTTATCCCAGCGGGAAATGGTGCCAGTATCCCAAGAGGAAGAATGAACAAGACTAACAAAACATCAACCATAGAATATGAATATAGTTGGAGGAAAGTAAGCAAGACTAAGCTGAAATCTGCAAGAAGCAGTATTGAGATGACTAAGCCCACGAGGTCCTGCAGTTGAAAGCAAAAGAACCATGGTGAGTTCAAAATGTAGCAAATCCCGCTATGCGCACACTGCGGCTATGTTCCTATAGTTGTGAAAATGATAGTCACCTGATGTCCAACTGGTTTTGTATTGTGCAAGATAAGAGAGAGAGGGTAAAACAAATTTCTCCTGTCATTAAGCATCCTTAGATTGTCAACATTGAGAATGGTGCCAGTTATCCTTTTACGCAGAGCATCATTGGTCCTTGAGTGGCCCAGTTGAGAGTCAGCATACATGTTTTGGTTTCTGTTAGAGGAAGTGATTAGAGAGATATGACGATCAGAGGGGCAGAATACAAATGCCCAGGCAAGCAAGAAATGACTCACACTGAATGTTGATCGGTTTTAATTGTAGAGCCATCTTGAAGTTCAGTGGTCACCGCTTCCCCCACAGCATGAAGAACAAGACCAAACTGACAGTAACCTAATGCTGTAGCTTGGAACCATGCAAGGTCAACACGCACACGGTACGTGTTCAATGCAGGATTTGCATGACTTTCAAGCCATTTGAACACAGGAAGAAATGATGTGTTTAGATTTCCATGACAAACCAAACGCAACTGGGCATTCAATCCAGCTACAAGACGATGCCATATTGACGATGGCACAGCCTATAAAAGAGACTAATAAGGTGAGAGAATAATTGGTTTAATTCAGCAATTCAGTACAATCTGAAATGTTTCAGAATCAACCTGACTTTTAAGAGTTGTGACCACTCTGTCGCTATGAAGTGAAAATGGAGCCATATAACTTCCATCGCCTCCAAAGATCAGGGACATTGGAAACCTTTGATGCAGCCGTGGGGGAAGATCAGTCCTTTTCTCATCCCCACCAAGGAAGAAATCTAGATAACCCAGCATTAAATCTGGAGTAGCAGCTACCTATCAATTTGAAAACAAGAAATCATCAATCCATAATATGACGAGACAATCACATGTATAACAATTAGCAAGCCTAATGCAACCTATGCTTTCCGATACGACTAAAGTTGCAGGTAATGCGCAGCCACGTACGGTTGTCTTGCATGCTCAAGGATACTACTACTCACCGATTTTGCCCCAGATAATCCAACCATGAAACTGAAAGATCAGAAAAGAGCTGCAAATAAAGCAGAAAACAAAAGATACATACCTTCAGCCCCTCATAAAGTGCACGCGAACGGCAGGACCGTAAGCATGAATGATCATATTCAGAACGAACAAATTCACGGAGTTTTTGTAATTTCTTTCTCCTACGCCACTGTTGCCACGACCATGCCAGGGGATATGAAAGTATACATAGGATGCTATAAACTGAACCTTCCCACCACTGATAGGCTGCAAGAGCATTGATCTCATCAACAAATTTGTTAAATGCATCTTCATACCTGAAAAAGGAAAGAGCCAGGAGGACATTCAACGGCTAGGAAAATTTTGGATACAAGAAGAAATTAGTAAATAATGGAAATACAAACAACAAACAAAGTATGGGAGTACATACACAATCTCTGAAATCTGCTCTGGCGGGGTGTGTGGGAGATGCCAAGGTTCACTGAAGGTGTTTGGGCCCATGAAATACATCCTGTGCACATGACAGTGAGATTCTTCTGCCCTGTTAGTTTCCAATACCTGCCACATTAGCAGAAATTTCAGTAACATTAGAAATAATCATACGATAGCTTATTAAGGGAATCAGCACAACAGAATGGATTTCACCTCGTTCAGTGATTCAATGAAGGGAAAAGAGTGATCAATTTGGGAGCTGTGCTGAGTTGGTGCTGGCCCAGGCAACTCATCAGTACCAACAAACTTCATCCGAGCAATACTCAAAACAAGAGCTAATAAATCCGAAGGCAAGAAAGAAGCAGACCAAACAAGAGGTCCACTAATAAAGCTCTTCAAGGGCAGTAAAACAGTGAGGCATGAAATCTATCAGACACACATTTGTATGGGCATGGGGTTTCAGCAACACCACCTGTCAAAAAACATAATATTAAGTTTATAACATCAGCTCTTCACAAACATTGCATAGTTAGCAAAACTTTCAAAACAGAAAAATCGAATGGAGTTAAATAATCAAAAGAAAACAGAAGTAACCCATCAAAAAATATCAGTGTGACCCAGACAATGCATATACTACTTCCAATTTGTAATTGTTTTAGCATGTTTTTTGGGTTTCAGCAACACCACCTGTCAAAACCATACACACATATTTGTAGCTTTTTATAACATCAATTCTTGAGCCCACGTTCCTTTCTTTCCTTTCCAAAAGCTCTTCTCCCGCACTAGTGCAGAGCAGACAGCAGACAAGCAGAGCACATACATATACTAGTGCAGTAGTACAAGCAGAGCAGACAGCAGAGCACATACATATACTAGTGCAACATTGCATAGTTAGCAAAAAGCAAAGAGCAGTGGAGGCGCCCGGCCGGAGGCGCAACAGAGAGCAAAGCAGACAGGCAGAATGAAGGGCCCGTTAAGTCAAGCGGAATGCAAAAAGAAAACAGAAGTAACCCACATGAAAGAACAAAAAAGGTCGAGGCACATATGTGTGCACCCAGACTAATGCCACTATATACTACCACGCCCTTTCGCCAAATGTAATTGTTTTAGCGTCTTTTTTGCAACTTTTAACCCTATGAGGCAAATGAAGGTCAGTTTAGACCATATGTGTCTTTTACCTCTTCTTCCTTCCTTGCCCTACTCAATAATGCTACCATTCTCACAAATGAAGGTCAGTTTAGATCACCTTTCCAAATACATTACTTATAATGCTACCAACTAAAGTCATTTTATCCAAATACATAATAAATGACAGGAACTAAAGTCATTTGAATTCTTGTTGAGTCTCTAAATGACCAACATTTGGATCGGAGGTAGTACATTCTAATATCACTTAAGAAAGGTGGACGACACCATTCAAACGTTTCTTTGTAGACACACCTATTAGACAAAGAAGTGCATAAAAAAATCCTGTCGAGAACAGACTCCAGAAGCATATTGTTCTGGTCTGCTAATGCATGGGGTTGATCTGCAGTTTAATTAATGTTTGTCACACAAGACAGGAACACAACAAGAACTACCTCGGACGCTTATATATACAGCACGGCGAGGTAGCTCATTTGGAGGGCATGGTGAGCACATTGACTTAGATGATCCAGTAACATTCTTGTATGTTCCTGAAGGACATTCCTGCGTTTAGCCACATAAAGCATTGCAACATTGTAAGCACTGTACAAGTAGCAATAGCCAGTCAAACTAAAAACTAGAGGCATGCTTTAAGGTTTTTTCTAGGTTGATAAGTGTATGTTTATGTTTGTGCCATGTGATTGTACAAATAGACAGTAAACTACAATAACAAGGCCTTTTAGTCAACAAGACCATTTGGGGTAGAGATGAAACCCAACAAGAGTCACAAAGGGACAGTAAAAACAAAGAGAGGTACTACTAATAATAATAACACTAACCTATTAAGCTACCAAATAGGTTGCTGCTGGCCATTCCAAAAGTTAGCTACTACATTAAATTGCGTCCTCAATACAAACAAAATTAAAACAGGAACCAATCTTCTGAATGTAACACATTATGTGATGTGGCCCAAAAGAGTTAAGGCAGCACATCTGATGTCTCATAAGTTACCTTGCAAAATGTTCCATAAAGACCTTTTGGGCAATGCTTTCCTGTGATGGTTCCATTCTCACCAGAGAAACCATGCCCTTCACTGACTCCTCCTCTGTAGCAGAAACAAATGTGGTTAGCTCAGCGATTTTAGCAATCTCCTACGCATTAACACCCCACCCCCACCCCCACCCCCAAAAGAATAAGGTTTGAAAGCACTCAATGCATATTGCATCATCCAACAACAAATACGATAAAAGTACAGGTTCAGGTTCAAAAAGCTTGACCATTGGGAGAAGACATCTCCCTGGCTGTCTTAACATAGGGGAGAACCAAATCCTTTAGGAAGGTACTCACATGACCTACAAGCACCCCAGTTCAAGCCTGAGCAGGCAGCCTCTCAACTGGAGTTAATGAAAGCAGAGACTCAAAAATTTCATAGAACCCAGATGTCCAAAACAGAAATGATAAAAAGGCAAACACTAAAATGTGGAAGGGGTGAAAAAGGCAGTAACGAGACCATGACTCCCGATCCCTCCTCTCCCTCCCCCACCGTCTTGCCTCCCTCCACCAAACCCCCGCCGGAGTTCACCCCGAACCCACCGGCCACCCCAACGGTGCCTGCGCTTCCTTCCCCCTCGGGGACGGTGGTCTCCTCCCCTATTTCCTCCCCAGCGGCGCCGTTCCTTTTGTGCGGGCTCTCCAAACTGGAGCGCTGGTGCGCTGATAGCCCGACCTCCTCCAATTTTGGCGGCTCTCGGCCCTCCTTCCGCGACGTAGTGGCTTCTTTTTCTTCGGGCACGTCTTGTGCGGCAACTTCGGCTCCGGGTGAAGGAGGGCCTGTTCTAGCGGGCATGGATGCTCCATCGGCGGGGCCTGTGGTGGCTGCTGCACCCCCACCGGAGTCTTCCTGGGCTCCTAGGATTACGCTCCACCGGCGGGACGTTCCTGGGCGGAGGGGCGGATCCTTCTTGACTGGCGCGGTGCGTCCTGTTCGAGGGGTGGCAGAAGGCTGAGTCTCACGGTACTCGGCGTCGGCGTCGACGCGCGACCCATCCTCCGCGCCGTCCAGTCCAGCGGACCTCGTTGGCAAATGTTTCAACTGTTTCTCGCCATCCCACACGGCTGCTCTCTGTCGCCTCAGGACTCGCTGTTTCCGCTACCGGTCTCTAGGGCATCGCTCCTTCGAGTGCCCTGGGGTGCTCAGCGGAGGGAGCGCTAATCCCGTGTCTCCGTGTGGCAATGGATTTCGCCGGCCCACGGGCTACTAGTACTGCCATCCCACAACGGCCTTCTCCGGCGGGTGTTGCTGGTGATGCTAGTGCGACGCAGAACATGTATCGTCAACCTGCTACTGGTCGCGTCTCCGTGTGGCGACGGATTTCCCCGGCCCACGAAGCTACCAGTGCTGCCTCTCTGCAACGGCCTTCTCCGGCGGAATTGGCTAGTGGCGCTGGCATGACGCAAGGCCCTTTGGAGGTGCATGCCCAGGATCATGGTGCGCGGGCGCGGCAGTCGCGTCGTCGACGACGTCCGCGATTCCGGAAGCGTCCGTGCAGAGATCACCGACTCCTCTCAGCCGCCGGTCCGGTCTGCGTGTTTGCCTCCTCGAGACGTCTGCTTGATGCTTTGAGGCCTCCCCATGCATCATTGATCGGAGCGATCGTGGCTAGAGTCAAAGAAGACCATGCAAGAGCGGTAACGGTGAATGTGATCGGCGATGATCTCATCCGGGCCATGAATGGAGGAGGTGGCGCGATGATTGGCGCCAACTCATGTTGACGCCAACTCACTAGTACTTCGTAAGGCTTCGTCCTCAAGTTACCTGCTGGTCCTCCCCGAATTGGCCTTGGTTGATCGTCTGGTTGGGTTGAGGCAGCCAGTCAGTTCGTCTGGATTCAACTTCAGCCTCCTGTGTAAGCGTTGGAGCCGTCTGACTGGTGCCCAGGGTCGTGTCCTGCCGTTCCTGATCGACGTTGAGCTTCGTGGCATTCCAAACCACGTTTGGGAAACCTCTACTGTGGATCGTCTCTTGAGTCCGCACGCGTGGGTTCAGCAGGTGCATCCTAATACTCTTGGACTCATGGATCTTTCATGTTTCCGATGCTTGGCCTGGAGTACAGACCCGTCTGCGCTCCCCTCTTCTAGGGAGCTCTGGGTGGTTGAGCCACCAATGGCCGTTGTTGAAGATCCTCCTGTCAAAAGGGTTCTGGCCTGGCCTACCCTATTGAGCTGCAGTATTCCGATGTTCACCACCCTGAGGTTTTGGCGCCAAGCCCTCCTCCCTCTGATGGAGGGGATGATGATGATAATGATCCTACAAGGCGTCGGCGTCGCGTCCGTCCTCCCTCGCCGCCGCCCAGCTCGGGACCGGTGGGTCGTGATGCTTCGTGTCATGGCGGTTCACGGCGGGGATCGATCATGAAGCAGGTGGAATCCTCTGTTCGGGGGAGATCTCATGTGGCCCACTCTCAGGTAGCGTGCTCTCAGCCGTTGGCCGTGGGTTCCAAAGAGGTCCAGGTGCGTGACATTCCAGGCGACGGTCATTCTGCCCTCAATGTTGAGACGCACAATCCCGAGGATGTCCCTGTGCCCGATCGCGGTACGCTACAACAAATGCAATCGTTTGAAAACCGCAGATGTCGCGTGCATTTAGGAGAGACGCCCCCCGTTCCTCGGTGGCCTCCCCAACTATTGTGCGGTTTGAAGTGGATGCTGGGCCTTTGCCTTCGGATGGCGTCCTCGTTTCTGGCCCGGCGGATGCGCTTCTCTTGGGCTGGACTTGGGCCCTCGGCCTGTGATTGATTCCCAATTGGCGTGCACTGGATTGGGTGATGCTACGGTCTAGAGCTCCCCCGGCCGGCCGACAGTGCCGTGCTCTTCCTTGAGCCTCCCATCGGATTGGCTACGGTTGAAGCTTCTCTGGCCTCACCACGCTCGCCTCAACGATCTCCCACGTCCGTCTTCCCGGGGTTCTTCCCACCGGCGCAAAACCCCCCCTCACCAACATTTGGCGCGGGACCTGCCACTGCGTCGGCTTCTGATGGCCCGATTGGGTTGCCCCTGGGCTCAGAGGCGCCTGCTCCGCCGGCTACGGGTGGGGATTCCGAGGGCTCGGAGGTGCCTGCTCCGCCCGCTCAGACTCTCCAAGCACCGTAGGGTGAGGTCTTCGTCTCGCCCCCGCTCCAAGTCTAATCCAGGCAACGACGCCGTGCTAGAACTCCCGCCCCGGCCGTCGTGGACAGCTCCTCCCAGTGTCCAGGGGAGGGATCCCCATCATGGAAGCTTGAGAAGGTGCGCAGGCAAGTGGATATGCTCGTCCCTCTGCCCGTGATCCAGAAGCGGCAAAAGAAGGCCCATCCTTCAGGGTCTCTGCCGCGGCGTAGCCGGCGGATCGCTGGCGCTGCCCCCTGCCATCCAGGCCCGTTGCTCTCGGAGGCTCAGAAGAGGGTGATGTGACAACTTGGCTTTGAAGAAAGGGAGATTATTCAGCCGAATGCTCAAGACAATTATAGTAAGCTATTCAGGCCATTCCTCTCTGACTCCCATGTTTGTGCTTTAGCTGCTATTTTTGGTTGGGATGTTGGAGAAGGTGGGCAGGTGCGGGCTGCGGATGTCCTTGCAGTGATGTAAGGATTTAGTTCTTTGTCGGGGTCGTTTTATTTCTTGGGTCAGATGAATCCTTCGTCTATTTTAATCTGGAACGTGCGAGGCCTGAATCAAAGGGATCGCCGGAATTCTGTCAGAGAGGTTATTCTGTCTAGCAACGCTGACATTGTCTGTTTGCAAGAAACTAAGGTTGCCAACATGTCCCAGCATTTGTTTCTCTCGGTCTTTGGGTCTGTGTATGATAACTTCATCGCACTACCAGCCAATGGGACTAGAGGAGGGTTCTGATTGCTTGGAAAGGGTGTTCTTGCCAGGCAGTGGCTTCTAGGGTAGATACTTATTCTACTTCTGTTCTGTTTTTGGAACAAGAAGGTCGCAATTGATGGTTCACTGGTGTCTATGGGCCACAAGAAGATGATGAGAAGGTGATGTTTCTGCAAGAGCTAAGAAATATCAGGGCCCTATGCAATGGAGCTTGGCTTCTAGGGGGAGATTTTAATTTAATTTATCAAGCTGCCGACAAGAACAATGCTAATTTGGATAGAGCAATGATGGGAAGATTTCGGCGTTTTCTAGATGACATGGATCTCAAGGAGATCCCGCTCTTGGGCCGAAAATATACTTGGTCCAACGAGAGGAGATCGCCTACTCTGGTCAGGCTGGATCGAGATTTCTGTTGTGGTGATTGGGACAATATTTTTCCTGATGCTGTCCTGCAAAGCACAGCAGCTGGTGTATCGGATCACTGCCCTCTCATTCTGGGTTTGAAAATGAGCACTAGCGGCAAGCGGCGATTCCATTTTGAGAGCTTCTGGACCAAAATCCCTGGTTTTCTCGATGTTGTTAAACTGAATTGGGAGGCTCCGGTACAATCTAATTGTGCTGTAGAGCACCTATTCATTAAACTACAGCGCCTCAGTAAGGGACTACAAAAATGGGGGCAGCGGAAAATAGGGAACATTAAAGCTCAGCTTGAGCTGGCCAGGGAGATTCTTCACCGCTTGGAAATAGAGAGAGATTCAAGGGCACTCTCTGAGCGCGAGGAATGGCTGAGAAAGAAACTCAAACTGCATTGTCTTGGTTTGGCTTCTCTAGAGCGAACCATTGCACGGCTGCGCTCTAGGATACTGTATCTTCAAGGAGATGTCAATACTGTTTTATTCCATCAACAAGCTAGAACAGAAAGAAGAAGAACTTCATCCAAAAACTGCAAGTTGGTAATCAGGGGGTCGTTTTGCAGGAGGAAAAACAGAAGGCAGTGGGTGATTTTTATGAGAACATTCTTGGCAGTGCTGAAGTAAGGGACTATACTCTTAACTTAGATGAGTTAGATATGCAGCACCATGATCTTTCCGATCTTGATGCCCCATTCTCTGAGGAGGAAGTCTAGGCTACCATAAAAGACATGCACCTGGACAAGGCCCCTGGGCCGGATGGTTTCACAGGAAGGTTCTACAAATCATGTTGGAGCATTATTACGGGGGATGTGCTGATGGCGTTGGACGCCATCCATCGCGGCCATGTATTCAAATTTAGGCTATTGAATACGGCCTATGTTACCCTACTGCCTAAGAAAGTAGATGCAGTTGAAGTGAAGGATTTTCGTCCTATAAGCCTGATTCATAGCTTTGCCAAGTTGGTGACTACGATTTTGGCTAATCGGCTAGCACCGCTGTTACCTTCCTTAATCTCTGCAAACCAAAGCGCTTTTGTGCGGGGAAGGAAGATTCATGACAACTTTATGCTGGCCCAACAGATCGTGAAATCTCTGCGGAGGCGCATATCCTTCTTAAACTAGACATCTCCAAGGCGTTTGATTCTGTCTCTTGGTCGTTTCTCCTGGAAGTCATGTGCAAGGTAGGGTTCGGTCAGCGGTGGCGAGACCTTATTTGCTTGATCCTGTCCACCTCCTCGACACAAATCTTGGTTAATGGAGTGCCCGGACACTATTTTGCATCACCGTGGTCTTAGACAGGGAGACCCCCATCGCTAATGTTGTTTATCCTCGTTATGGATGTCCTCAATTCCTCGGTCAATTTTGCTACTCAAGGCGGGTTTGATGCAGCCGCTAGCCATTCAACAAGCACGCACGGCAGGTGTCCCCTATCTTATGATGATGATGCGTCATATTCTTGAGACCCCACAACTTGGATCTGGCCTGGAATTGTTTGGACACGCCTCCGGTCTTAGAACCAACCTGTCCAAGAGTTCGGTTTCCCCTATTCATTGTACTGATGAGGAATTGGCACTCACTGCAAGCGTCCTCTCTCGTTCAATAAAGGCCTTCCCATGTACGTACCTTGGCCTCCCACTCTCACTTGGAAAACCAACTAAGGAGGTGTAGCTGCCTTTAGTAGATAAGGTGTCAGAATATCTCCCTGGTTGGAAGGCCTCTCTAATGAACAGGGCTGGGCGGTTAGTCATGGTGAAGGTTTTGCTGACTGCTGTCCCTATATATATCTTAATAGCCCTGGACCTTCCTAAATGGGTGCTTAAGGCTATTGACAAAAAGCGGCGGGGCTTCCTTTGGAAGGGTCACCAACATGCCAATGGAGGCAATTGCCTGGTAGCCTAGGAAAAGGTACAGAGACCAGTTGAATATGGAGGCCTTGGGATCCATAATCTTGAGCTCCTTGGTTGGGCACTTAGGATTCGGTGGTTGTGGGTGCAAAAGACAAATGCTGAAAGGCCTTGGGCCGGTCTTTCTATCGCTGTTCCTCACAAAGCCCGGGCCCTCTTTAATGTTGCAGTTGATGCCATAGTTGGAAATGGAGAGGAAATATTGTTCTGGACAGATAGGTGGCTGGATGGGCATACCGTGGCAGAAATAGCGCCTAACCTGTTCAATGCGGTTCAAAAACGAACAGCTAAAAGGAGGACTGTGGCCCAAGCTCCGCATAATAGAAGCTGGGTTCAAGATATTAGGGGAGCTCGTACAGTAGAGGTATTGCTTGATTAACTCCACATTTGGGATAGGGTGGACGGAATTATTTTGCATCCAGAGATCCCGGACAGTTATAATTGGAAGTTAACGTAGGATGGTTCCTATAGTAGCAAGTCTGCCTATGCAGCCTTCTTTCTTGGATCCATCAAGTTTGGATCGTGGAGAAGGATCTGGAAAACCTGGGCTCCCCCGCGCTGTAAGTTTTTCATTTGGTTGGTGTTTCACAACCGGGTTTGGACAGCTGATCGATTAGCAAAGAGGAATCTGCCCCATCCTGAGTCTTGCCCGTTATGTGATCAAGAGGATGAAACAATAAATCATTTGCTAGTGGGCTGTGTCTTCGCTCGACAGGTCTGGTCCCTGGTTTTGCATCAGTTTGGGCTGCTACATTTGGCACCACAGTCTCCTGTAACTCGTTTCTCAGGGTGGTGGAAGAGGTCTACTGCTGCTGTCCCCAAAGAAGCGCGTAAAGGCCTCAATTCCTTGATAATCCTGGTGGCCTGGGAGATTTGGAAGCACCGCAACACTTGTGTCTTTGATAATAAGAGGCCAAGTGTTCAAGAGGTCCTTAGGTCCATTAGCGCGGAGGGTGGGGGCTTTGGTGCTCGGCTGGGGCTTCCAAACTCCAGGAGCTTGTTATCAAGTCGCTGCCTGCTGTAGCTTAATGCTCGGAGGCTTTTGGTCGTTCTTGATCTTTGGGTGGCGAGTCTGTATCTTAGTGTCTAGGGTGTGGGGTGTGTGTCGTCTCTCTAACCCTTGTAACATTTCTTCTACCTTAATGAAATGACGCGCAGTTCTCCTGCGCTGTTTGAGAAAAAAAGAAAAAGGCAGTAACAGGAGAAAGCAACTGGTACTGACAAACCGAAGGTGACCAAAAGTTATGTTAAAAGTGAATAATACTAGCTCATGACCATATAAATATTGAAACCATACTAAAAGTGCCATACATATGAAAGGCGCTAGTACTGTTCCAACCTGAATATTGCCATGTAGGATTAAAACTAAACAATCATGCAGACACGAAGCACACCAAAAACAGGCCTTTAACATAATTCAAAACTTGTAAAACAAAAGGAGAAGGGCTAACAGCCTGACAAGAAGCATTAGAATTAAAACAAACCTTGCAAGTATTGTTCCTTTAACGGTTGCAAAAGGAATATAATCATCTCCAGTGGGAATATCGGACCAGTGGAAGTGAATCCGACCCCCTCCACCTCCACCACTGCCATTGCTTCCAACTCCCCCAACACTAGAAAGTACAGAGTCCTTCTTTAGGAGTAAAGTCCGCACAAAAAGAAGAATTGTGCCACCAGAACCACCACCAGGTCCTCCAATTGTGGCATGAGATATCAAACCAGTAAAATTACCACCATTTGCCTCAATTGAGCCAGAAAGGGAGAGGTTTGGCAGAGATTGTTCGTAAGAACCCATCACTAAAAATTTGCACAAGGACAATGCTGTTAAAAAGGAACAATGACTGAACAGAGGGCAACATCAATACATATGCAATATTTGATACCTATTATACCACCACCAGCAGTTGAAGATCCACTGACATTACCACTGCCACTGCCAAGTTCACATGGTAAATCAGCATGACCATATGCAGATCCACCCTCTGCATGACCACCATTATAAATGCCATCGCCACCTTTACCACCATGCCCACCCCCACCACTAAGCCCACTGCTTAACATTTTTCCTTGCCCAATTCCACCTCGGCAACCTGCAAACAGAAGAAACTTAAAATTGTATAATAGCTAGCAAAAGTTGTGTCAATAATAAAGAAAAAGAATCTCCAAAAAACAGGACATGTATGCATTAAATTCCAATAAACCAACCAGTATGATTTCAAATACATGTGGTTGTTTAATCTGGATTATTTATTCATTGTATCGTTTCAAATAAAATATATATTTTTCAATATACCCCTCACGGCCAACTAATAGAGAAATACCCCTCACGGCTAACTGATAGAGAATTAAACCAGCTTGTCTCAAATCAGACAACTGCAAATCAAGGTTAGTTATGTTAGTCGTTGAACTCTCACTCTCGGTAGTAGCAGAATTCTTACTCTCATCGAGAGAGGATGACACTAGGAGTAGGGGCAATTTTCTGGTTTATTTCTCACACAAACTCACACAAATGCCATGCCAACCTGAGGAGTTGGGGTTACATATTTATAGGCTGTTAGCCAGCCAAGCATATACCAAGATGCTAGTCTAAGATGCCAAGATGCTAGTCTAAGATGCTAGTCTAAGATGCTAATATGTTGTCCTAGCTAAGATGCTGTCCTAAAAACAGAAAACAGCCACAAGGACCATGTGAGCAGCACAGCCCCACAAAGACCAGCCACACATGAGACTTATCGATCATTCTCCCCCTAAGTCTTGTGCGTCGTCTTGTGGGAGAGTTGAACCATCCCGATCCTGGAGCAGAGCTCAAGGAACTTGATCCTCCCAAGGGGCTTGGTGAGCAGGTCCGCAAGCTGGTCCTTGGTGTTGATGTAGCTCGCCTTGATGCTCCCTTCCTCCAAACAGCCTCAGATGAAGTGGTACCTCACCCGGATGTGCTTGCTGCGTTAAGTGGAACACGGGGTTCTTTGCCCGGGCAGGCGGACTTCTTTGTCCCACCCCAGCTCCACCGCTCTAGTGTCTCTGCCGGAGATCACTGCGATCCGGGCAAGCAGGCGCTTTGAGTCGAGCGGTGGAGGCAGCTATGTACTCGGCCTCGCAAATGAGACAGGGCCACCACTGGCCGCTTGACCATTGCCGACTAACAAGGCACTTGCCGAGGAAGAAGAGATCCCTTCCGTGCTCTTCTTTGGTGTCGATGTCGCCGGCGTGGTCGTTGTCATTCCCGAAGCCGAAGTGTGCCGCCCAGGGGCACCTCGGGTAGTAGAGGCCGTGGTCGAGAGTCCCCGCAAGCGTGGCGGATGATCCTCTTCACGACTCTTTGGTGCTCCGTTGTCGGTCATTGCATGAACCGACTAATTTAGCCGACGGAGAATGCGAGTCCGGCCGTGTGGGGCGAGGTAGCGAAGGCTCCTCACAAGCAGCCGGATCTTGCGTGGCGTCCACCTCCTTCGCCAGGTCTTTGTCGCTGCTCGGCCCACCTCTCCTCCATCGGAGTGAGAGGCTGGTTGCGATCGATGAGCCTGACTAGCTCAACGACGCGCTTAGGCGTGGCGGTCTGTCGGCGTGATCCGAGTCATCTGGTGCACCTCGATCCCGGTAGAAGGAGAGAGGTCCCGTGTCACTCATCCGGAAGGTGGCCTTCATCTCTTCCTTGAATGCCACCACCTCCGCATCCTTGGTGCCGGTGATCACCAAGTCGTCGACGTAGACACCCACCGTGAGCATTTCTCTCGCCCGTCCGGTAGATGGTCGCCTCGTCGCGGGCTTTGCTCAAGCCCATCCCCTTTAGCGTGGAATCCACGGCATTCCACGCCCTCGGCCCACCACAAGCTATAGAGGGCCTTGCGCGGCGGAGCACCTTGCCCTCCTTCTTGCCGGGATCGCAAATCCGGGTGGTGGTGCACGTAGACCTCCTTCAAGTCGCCAGATAAGGAACGCCGACTTGACGTCCATGTGATGAACACGCCAAATTCTCTCCGGAAAATTAAGCGCCAGGAGGAGTCGCGACGGACTCCATCCGTGTGCCACGGAGCAAAGCGTCGTCGAAATCGACCCCTCTGCCGCACGAAGCCTCGTGCCACCAAGCCTTGTGCTTGAGCGATGATGGCACCGGCTTCATCCTCTTCGGCAGTACACCCACTTAAGGGTGATCGCGCGGTGACCACGAGGAAGGTCAACAAGCTCCCAGTGCGGTTCTTTCTCAACGCATCTATCTCCAATCGCATCGCGGCGCGCATATTTGCCGCGTGTCTCTCGGCCTCTCGCAAGCGATCGAGGTTCGCCGTCGTCACACGCAAAAGGCAATCTAGCGCCTCCAGTCGTGAGGCACCGGTCCCGGCATGCCGTACCGAGCCGAAAGGTTCTCCAACAGACCAGTATAGCGGCTCGCCGTCGTGGTATGCTGCCGGCGTGCTCCTCGTCGTGAGAGCGGATGTAGCGAAGCTCAACCGGGCCATGCTCGACATGAGCCGGGTGGTGGGGTAACGTGCGGAGTGGTGCTGCTCGCTCGGTCTTGGAGTGCGTGGCGTTGCGGCTATGGTGGAGCCGCAAGAACTCATCGCAGCCGAGGTCTGGTTTGAGAGCGTGGTCTTTGTCGAGAGTAGCAGCGCCGGGTCGGTGGAGGCTCGAGGGTCGGGTAGACGCGCCTTTCGTTAAGAGCCTCTCCCCGGCTCCCTCGAAGTGGATGTACTCGACGAAGTCGAAGTGACGTTTGCGTCGAAGCCGAGCCGTCGTCCACCGCCTTGTCCCGCGCCATCATCCTCGCCCTTTTCGTCCGATGACGTCGTTAAGCTGCGCGCACACAGCTGTGTGTCTTGGTCGAGGATGCGGTGAGGCTTCTCGAGCCCTCCGCGTGGCCGATGAACACTCCCGAGCTCTCTGGTCGAGCTTCTTGATGTGGCCAAGCTCCTTGGCGAACGCGAGGCGCCCAAAGACCCGCAAGTGGGAGACCGCCGGCCTTGCGCCCATGCCAAGCCTCGTCATGGCGTCCCCGCCGTCGGCGCCTTTGGTAAGCGGCGGTTGAGGATGTGAGACGACGCCACCACCACCGCCTCTCCCGAAGATGGCCGACATCCCCTCGCTTGAGGAGGGCCCGAGCAATCCTTACAACCGTCAATGGTTGCGCCGCTTCGACGACGCCATTTTGTCTATGGCTATACTGGTGGCGAGTAGTGGCGCTGAATGCCCTCGTCGTCAAAGATCGACGCGAATTCAACCGCCGTGAATTCGCCATTGCCGTTTGGTCTGTGAGACGCTGCAGCGACTTCGATCCGCCTCTGCATTGGCTGGCTTGCCGATGGCGTCTGCGGCCTCTCCCTTGTTCGCCAGGACCATCACCCACATGTAGCGGGAGAGGTCGTCGACGGCGGCGGGAAGTAGCGTCGTCTCCCTGTGTCACTGGCCACACAAGTCCCCATGCACAAGCTCGAGCCTCTCCTTGGCTCGAAAGCTCGCCTGGGGGAAAGGGGAGTCGCTTCGCTTCATCAACACGCAGACGTCGCAGATTGCTCCACATGGTCAAGGCACGGCAGACCTCGCACCATCTCCGTGGCCTTGAGCCGCCAACAGGGCCTCGAAGTGAAGGTGCCCAAACGCTGCGTGCCTTCGCCACGCTCGTCATCCCGACGGCAGCGGCGAGACAAAGGGGTTGTGCCACCAGCACGTTGAGGACGTGGAGTCGATTTGCGCTTACGTTACCTTGGCAAGAAGCGGCGCCGATGATCCCAAATCCTCATGACTCCATCCTCAACCACCACCTGAAGCTGAACCGTTCTCATCCAAGAGGTGATGATAGAGTTCCTCAACGCTGGGATGTAGTAGACTCGGTGAGCAACTTTGTGCTCACACGTAGACACGGCGAGTGAAGATGGCGGAGCCGACGCCCTTGATCTCCACGCCGAGGCATTCCCAAACTTGACGGAGCCTCGGACGCTAGAGTCAAGCTCGCCTGCCGACCGGTCATGTGATGGGTGGTGCCGTTGTCGAGGCACCACCCGTCGATCTTGTCGTTGCGGAGCTGTCACCGAGGAGGGCGTGTGCTTTTGCTCGTCAAGGTGGAGGAGAGCCACTGCGGCGGTCTGCCGGAGGTAGCTCGATGCTTGCATGTGCCATGAAACGAGCCGGCTCCTCCTCACTTTGTCTTGGCGTGGGCTTGGCAGCGTTGTGGTGTCGGCGATCCTTGGCCCAATGGCCAAAGCCGCGCGCAGCTTGCGGCGGCGTCGTCTCGTCTTGGGCTTGTAGTGCTGTGGCTGCACCGCAGCAATCCTCTGCGGGCATCACCCTCGTTGCGTCCTCGTGCCCGAGCTTGACCGGCGCCTCTGCGGCGCTAGCTCAAGTGGCTTTGCCACGCTTGCGACCACATCGCGCATCAAGAAGGCTCCCCTTCTTCCGGTCACCTTATTGGCAAGCCACTTCTCTCCCAGTGAAAGGAGCTTCCCGCCAGGTGGTGATGGGCCCCAGAGAGATCTGTGGCTCATCGTTATCGACGACCTTGAGGCGACCTTATCGCCTCCTCGATCGACATCGTGGAGAGATCCAAAACTCGATCGAATGAGCCATCTGCTTGTACTTCTGAAGCGCAAATGAAAGAGCTTTTCGACACTCTCCCCTCGCCGTAGGTGTCATCGCCGTAAACTGCACCATCTTACGCAACGAGTGTTGAGACGGAGAGCAAAGTCATCAACGTCCTCACACCGGCTTGAAGGCCGGTTCTCCCACTCCTTGCGAAGTGCTGCAGGTGTGGACTTCTTGGCTGCCGATTCTTTGCCGATCGTGCCTTTGCGATGGCGTCCCAAGCCTCCTTAGCGATCCGCTTGTTGGTAAGCGAGAGCGCATCTCGGTAAGGGCTCGGCCCTTGAGGGCATCCATTCGATCTAGGTCGTGGTCGACGTCGCCGCATCAAATCGCCTCCCACATGTGCCGCACTGGAACTTTACCCTCATCACCGCGCCCACTCGAAAGTTGGTCTTGGTGAGGTAGGCCACCCACCGCCGGACCGACGTCCCGACAACAACCTGGCCCGTGGTAACCACGGTACCGATCCGGGAGAAAGAGCCACGCAGGTCTGTGAAGGCCGTGCTCTCCATCGACCCGTCGATATCGATCCGGGAGAAACCACCATTTGCTGTGAAGGCCGCGCTCTCCATCGACCCGTCCGGCCACCGAGATGCCGTGCGCGCCTCCTCAGCGCCGCTCCACCAGATTTGCCGCAAGGACAATGCTGTTAAAAAAGGAACAATGACTCTTGAACAGAGGGCAACATCCATGCGCGCGCCTCCTCTAGGAGCGCAATATTTGATACCGCGCTGTCTGGCTACCGCCACCACTCGTGGCGTTGAAGCCTTACTGACATTACCAGCTTTCGCCAACTGCCTCCCTCTCTAAACTCGAGGTCCGCGTCGGCGGTGTCGTCGTAATGGAGCTGCCCGCTGTACGACCATATGAGCCTCGACCTCCAGCCTCCACCACCACCATTATAAATGCCGCCATCGCTTCGCCTCCGCTTACCACCCATCACTTGCCCTCGGCCCCACCGCCGCCAGTAAGTCTCTGCTGCCACTCATTTTTCCTGCTGCCAAATTCGGCCTCCTCGACAACCTGCAAACAGAAGCGACAAAGGCCGAGAAAAACATGACGCTACTGGGGCTAATAGCGTGGAGAGGCTGCTTGAGATGTCGCGAGGAGAGAAGAGTGAGCAGAGGCGGCCGGAGAAAGAATCACGCCAACAGCTAGAAATCTGTTGTGGGGGGGGGAGATGAGCGATGAGATGCTCAGATGCTATTCCAATAATCTGACTCGATACCAGTTGTTAGTCGTTGAACTCTCACTGTGGTTGCAATTCTTACTCTCATCTGGATTAGAATGACACTAGGAGTTGGGGCAATTTTACCGGTTTATTTCTCACAAAACTCACAAAATGCCATGCCAACCTTTTTAGTTACATATTATAGGTCATTAGCCAAGCCAAGCATATGCCAAGATGCTAGTCTAAGATGCTAAGATGCCAAGATGCTAGTCTAAGATGCTAATATCTTGTCCTAGCTAAGATGCTCCTTTAAGATCTGTCCTAAAAATACAACAAGGACCATGCAAATCAAAGACCAGCCACACATGAGACTTATCCATCAAGTTATTTGGAGTCAATTTCAGACTGCCCTAGCCCTAATGAGTAGTATTTGGGAGTTCACTCCTGTTGTGGTCATTTTTCTGTTTCTTGTCAAGGGTGCGCACGTAACTGTTTCTTGTCAAGGGTCATCTGCGTGTTCGAGAAAAAGAAAAAGTAAATTCACAAACCTAACAAATTCATGCTTAGCATGACAAATTTGGCAAATACGCCAGACTGGCCATGAATGAGGAATACTAGTCATGAAGTAGTAGTTTTGTGAGAAGCCAACCCAAAATAGAGGTGGCCTGGTGTATTTGGATTTGGCAAATGGACACAAACTGTCTTGTGAGAGAAAATAGTGTTCGTGAAATTTATTATCGTTCTGACCCAAAATATTGCCCAAAATATTGGTAGTTTTGTTGACATTTACTATAGTTCGCAAATATATAGGTATAAAAAGCTTGGACGTGTCTTTGTCCAGCGGAAGAAAACTGAGAATTAAATGCTTTGAATGCGTGGAATGAGAGAGAAAAGCATGAACAAAGCTATTTGTATGCACCACCACCACCAAGGGCCACAAAAAATATTATTTAAATTATGTATAACAGTATAAGAAGGTACATTAGTAATAGTAGCAAAATAAGAACAATATTTATAATATTGGTGCCAAATATCCTTAATTTTTTACACTAAACATTTGGAACATTCTATAAGATATATTTTTGAAAGGCAGCCTATAAGATATATTTGTTGCTACAACATTATCATCCCAGAGCAAAATAATAAACAGGTCATGATTATCAGTTACAAGAGAATTTTTTTAACAGAGCAATGGTGTAAGGTAGCTATCATGGAAGATCTACTACATATTTTTTTTTACTTTGGGAATACATACATTAAGGAGTCACTTCCCCCTTCCCATTAGAGCCCTTCCCTATTCCAAGTGTCGCTATGTATTTTCCCCAGGGAGTTACCTTTCAATGCAGTCACTACTCACAACAATATAATCAGCAATAGTCTCACCAAACTCTTTAAAGCTACAAGATTAGCGAAAACGACACATTAACAAAAAGAAAAGGGAAATTTGTCTAGGTGGGCACTATATTTCCGAGATTTTGTATGTACGACACAAAGAAATTTTTTCAAATGCGACTGTAGACTCTTCGTCTAAATGATCATTTATCCCATTTTAATACAATTTAATCGGCCATTTATCCCGTTTAAATGGCCGCTCCCCCCCCCCCGGTACAATTCAATATAAGTGTTATTCATAGAAATAAATTTGTATGAATGAAAATCTTTAAAACCTTACAAGACTACAAAAACGAACACATTAACAATGAGATCAGTGGAAATATTACAGTGCATTGCTGTAAAATTTGGATCATGCATACTTTGATACAAATTTATGAAGTATTAACCAAATAATCAATATTCCATTCAGTAAACTGAAAGCAATACAAGCAAAAAAAAGGACAGTTTCGTACAACCTTAAGAATTCTAAGATAAGTCTGAAGTTTAAAAGGCCAGCCAATGTAGTTACTCAAAGTGCCTAATATAATTAGATATAGCATAACAAAGTTCAAAGAGAATAGATATGCATCCTCCAGTTCAAGGCCCATAGTTCAGCAGTACAGACTCAAAAGTCAAAACTAAAATAAGTAAGCAGACTGTGATACCCTGACCAAGTAACTGAAATCTGATAATGGGGCTATTCCAAAACTTGTCTATAACAGAACTGTCATGTGGCTTGTGGCATTCTGCATAGTCAGTGGCCACAAAACATGATAGTAAACTTTCTTCTTTCCTCGTTTTATTTTCCTTTCTGTATGTGCTCTCCTCCCTCTTTTGGGTTATTTAAATTTATCTTATTGCTGTGAGGACCTCCCTCACAGTTCTTCCCTAAAAAGAAATGATCATACCTAGTCCAGTAGCACTTATGGTCCCAGAAGTCTGCACAGTGACACTTCTCGCTCTGTTAAAATTAATGACAGTTCCTTGCACAAGGCCAGAAATATCAATATCTTCAACGCGGCATATCTGCATTACAAAAGCCACCATGGGTTACAAGTAAAACTAAAAGGTAATCAAGGTAATAATATACAGAGCAAAATGTACCAGAAAATTAAACTTATTGCATGGTGGTGCCATCTAAGTCCCTAAACCCCCTGTTTGGCAGAGCTTCAGCTCCAACAATTATTGAAGCTGGACTAGCTCCAAGAATCCATGGAGCTTTAGCCAGGGAGCATCGAGGGTGTTTGGGCAAACCATGTTTGTTTTCATTTTAGATGAAAAAACAGAGATTTGAATCACTTTATTTTTTAGCAAACAAATTCATGATGTTATGTGAAGCTGAGATAGCTGCCAAATTAGGCTTTAAAATGCATATTTGAGTCCCTAAACTTGTTAATGAACCACTCAAGGTCAAAGTCTTCCTAATCAACATGAACTTGCCTATGTCAAGTTTAGAGACCTAGATGACATCATGAGACAAGTTTAAGCACTGCAAATGCATCTTATTTTAAAAGAAATAGATAGAACAGCACAACATGAGGAAATTTACAACTTGGGAGAATTAATAGTACACCTGTAAAGTAAAAGACAATGAAGAGTTCAAGTTGCAATCCTCAGGTGGATGAAAGATTTCCATGGGGCAACTCTCATTACAGTTCAGTTTTGGGGCCCTGGTGTTGCCACAAAATCTCATTAATCATTCACCAATGAGAAAAACAATGAAAAAGAGTATTTAACACAAAATCTGAAGGTGATAAGTTACATCTCGTCACGACTTCCATTTATAAATGGGCCCCTTAGAACAGCTCCAGGTCCAACCTGAAAGAAAAGAATTACTTATTAATTACTATAATGTTCTTCAAATGGCTAAAAAATATCAGACAGTCTAACTGCGACAATGAAATATTGAACTGGACCAGTCAAAGACCTATGACAACATATTTCCCATATTATGGCTATACTAGCACACAGCCTCCAAGGAAAGCAAGAAATAGAATTTTGATTGCTTCAGTTATGGAAAGCAACATGATCATCTCAAGAGGCTTTTAAACTTTGAACCATCTAAATTCAGCATCTTAACTTAGATAAGTAAATAGCAGAGCAAAGAATAAAAACAAAACAGCCGAATCCTGTAAAAAATGCCAACGAGTGATCGAGTTCCAAATAACAGGACTAATTTTATTTGAGAATTTAAGATATAAAAGATTGTCCAACCTGTCCACAACCAATAGGAATGTGCTAAGAAAGGCACAACAGGCATGCAATACGATACAGATAGAATAATTTCAGAATAGATTGTGGACAAACAAAACAGAAAAGCATTTTGATGTACCAATATGTTGTAAAACAGTGATAAAATAAGGCGCTGTGCCTCTATTGTATCTCCTTGACCAGATAAATTTAGAACTCCTTGACCATGAATCCCTAGATTAGCATTAGAATGTATCACAGATGCTTCCTGAAAAAGCATGTGAAAAAAAAATATCATGTAGAGTAAAGGCGGACAGAAAAAGGATGTAGCATGCGTTACAGTTGTCTACGTACCTTCAGAACTATCAAATTGCTACCTTCTAATAATGAAGTTCCCACGCCTAATTCTCGGCCACCATCAATAGTCATTCTTGAGTTCCACATAAGGAGCATCTTTACCGACATTCGTAAAGCACCAAATATCTGAATTTGATTGAAAAATGGAGTGGTATCCATACAACATACAAAATGTTATATAGCCAAAAGTGCAGAAAATGACAGGAAATCAAAAGCAAAAAAGAACCTTGATTGTGGAATCACTCATAAGAAGTTCCTCAGCCAACAGCTCAAATTCTGAATATGGATAATGTGTCAGGCCAAAAGTTAGAGTAGAACCAGCTAAAAGAATCTGTCCTTGAGCCTGAAAATAGGAAGCATTTAAGAAAATGACAGTAGAAGGGAGGAAACTTTTAGTGAAATAAACTAAAAATCTACAGATTCAGAATTAATTTCAGACTACTTATACCACACTAACAACTGGTAGTACTCATCGATCTCAAAAGAAAGAAAGCACACCAGCTGGCAATGACAATGTGCATTATCTACCTGTTATATATGCAGCACTAACTCATGCAGATGTACTCCCTAGTCCCTCCAGCCACAAAAAGTGACCCTTTGGAGAGCATGCAGTCCAAAGTTCGACCTACAATATCTTAACACCCCATTTGGATGTTGGCATTCAGCAAGGAATTGAGTAATTGGAATCGTATATCTTCACTACCACGGTTTTGGATGTTTTGGAATTGGATCTTGGAATTTGACTCCCAATTCCAAACGGTATTCTCGGTACAGAGAACAAGCAGCCACCAATACGGACCTGTGAGGCTTGGTTTTGGGTAGAATCGTTGAGCGGCGGCTTCTTGCGCGCGAGGTGGCAGGCGCGGGACCGGCAGCTTCTCCCACTCTCGCTCCAGCACCGGCTCCTTCTCCCGCCCCGGCAGCTCGTGCCCCGTTTCCGCGCACCGCCACCGCCCACCACCGGTGTCCTCCCAGGTTGGTTCCCCCAGAAGGAAGACGAGCGCCTCCCCTCCGCCCTCGCTGCCGAGCAGGGCGGGGTCGCCGTTGCGCGCCGCGGGTGGAGGACCGACGCGTGGAGGGGTTGGGGTCGCCTGCGCATGCAGCGGGTGGGGATCACCAGCGTGCAGAACAGGGACGGAGTCGCCGGAGCGGAACAGGGCAGGGTTGCTGGTGCATGGAGCGGGCGGGGTCGCCGGGGCGTGGAAGAGCAGGGGCGTGGAGGGCCTCGCCGGCCAAGGGGAAGAAGAGGGACGGATGTGGGTTCTGATTTCCAAGGAACAATTTACAGACACCCAAACGCGTGGAAACGGAATCAAAGTCCAATACCATTTCAGCGTTTCATTGATTTGGAAACTCAATTCCGTTGACCCAATTCCATTGCCAACATCAAATGGAGCCTAATGTGTATTTAGATCTGTCAAATGAAATGGTATATAACTATATATTATATATTTTGTAAGTCTCACAAAAGCCTTTCAAAATATCGTTCTTTTCTTTTGTAGAAAACAATGATCAGAGTTATGGGTTTTGGGGGGATAATGTGCATGCCCAGCATGCCATTTTTTTGTGATTTGTGACTGGAGGGTTTATGTATGTCTATGGCCTAAAATGTTAACAGAAAGTACAGACAAGCCCCAGAATAACAGCACTCCCCCTATCTATGTAAGAAAGACAAAGAGAGAAACAAAGCTAAGACATTCCTGAAAAAACATTTTGTGACTTTTCTGTGAGTTCATCTCCAGAAAACAAAACAAGTGCCATGCTTGAAACAAAATTGTATGGCTACACTATCAATAAAGAATTCAGCCTCAAACCTGAATACGGCTCCAGCGTAAGGGAAGAGAAACTTTGGCACGATTTCTGATAAAAACATTTGTCCAGAGTGGCTCATATGGAGGATCTAGAAAAACCGTATCAGTTTGTGTGCTCAAGTTATTGTTGCTAACAGTAATACTCTTAGGTACTGCTTCATAAAGTGTTCCAGCTGCTCCAGCATTGTCCAAGCATCCTGAACTCTCCCCCCCTGTACACAAACAACAACAAAGCCTATTAGTCCCAAAAAAAAAACTTGGGATTGGCTACTGATGAAATCCAACAAGAGCCACCAAAAAGGAGGATAAGAAAAGTAAAAGGGTATTATTGGTAACCATAATAACAATAATAGTAGATCAAGAAAAAAATAAAAAATTAAACACTCAAATTATTAGGTCAAGAAGCTTGAACAGACCCTGTACTGTCCATCAACCAGCTACTATAGGTATACCGGACTACAGATACTTAGAGCACAATCTCATGAATTAATAGACCTTGTATATAGAATAATAGATCGGAAGTAAGAATGTATGAGGTAAGGAGAGCAGTAGCAGATAAATGGGTCAATAACTTCACTACAATGAACTAAACACAGGTAACCCATTTGAAAAATATGCAGTCACTGACGCAAAAGAAAACCAAGTAAATTACCATGAACAAAAATTTGTGCATCATCATGCCTACTGAAAATATCGATGGAAACACGTCCTCCACCTCCACCAGCTAAACCATTGCCTCCACAAGCACTTATTTTGCCACCTCCTCGCCTGTTTCAAATAAGGTATCAGAAAGGGAGTGACTGAATTATGTACAATCTTTAGGAAATGAATTTAACCAAAAATAGATTCCTTGTCAAGATACACAGGTGAACCGCATATCATTTTAATAATAAGAACCAGAAAAGAAGTCTACATCAGAACGTAGAAACATTCAGGCTATGGAAGGACATGAGTTTAAAAGTCAAACTGCAAGGGAAGAAATGTCAAAAAAAGGATTGCAACAACACATTAAATTCTCCATCCATCATAAACTGACTCAAATTATCATTCTACCCCTTCTATTTCAACCAGAAAGGAATTTTGTTGCTATACCAGACCTGATACAGAGATAAAAATGTATTGGGCCTCTACTTACTATCAACAATGTACTAGAAGATTGGGTTGTCAGCAGACTAGCTCACTGTTCTCTAGTGTGTCAATTGTTTCATTCATGTCAAGCTACCTCTGATTTCCTAAAAAGTACTTAGGGTTAACATCAACTTAATCACGACCATGTTACATTGCCAAATAATTACTCAAAACAAAGGTGCGACTACCTTCAGCACACCAAACAGTTCAACTGATGGGAGTACAGTGGCTATTATTATTTATCTGATGATGACAAACAAATGGTGGCCTCTCTTGATTCAGCACTACTTGTATAGCACCCATTGCCATCCATTGTTTTGAGTGCATGTTGAGTTTAAATCTGGCTCAAGTTTATGAATTATCAGCATTACGAAATTGTCTAACTGTGCCACTAGAAAAAACACAATGTGAGATTGTTTATTTTCACTACAAAACATGATATCCATATGCTACTTATGTTTATCAATGAAGTACTGTAAGCAGAACATAAACTTCAAATCTTAACCATCCAAAAACTCAAGCAAGTTCCTGTATGTATTTGTACTAAATGACCACACTGCAAAATCCAAATTCACCCAACTAAACAAGGGCTAAGTTCCTGTTTGTATTTGTACTAAATGACCACACTGGAAGCAATATGTTATACAGCTTTACACAAACTGTCTCTGCTTGAAATCCCGATTGAGCCCAGAAAGGACAGAACCTAGTATAGCTCTCTTCATTTTTCATTGCAATGACATTTCATTCTTCCCTCAAATCAACTTGCTCAAATGTCTAGTTAACAGCTCAAAACGGAATAGGAACTAGTTGGAAGTAATAAGAAGTGAGAAATGTGCCTGAAATCAATGCAATATACTCACATTGTGGAAGCCTTCAGATAGATGCTCCCCCCAGAGCCACCCCCACCCTTGGTGCCACCGTCTCCACCATCAGCAAGAACTGTTCCATTCATCACAATCTCTTCAGCAAACAACCACACGACACCCCCACCCCCACCACCATAGTCCTTCTCGACGGTAGTGGATCCCCCTTTGCTCCCATAGTTATTTGGAGTCTTCAGTGCAGACCAAGCGTAGGAATCACCGCCCCATGAGTCCTCCTGCGCCTGCCCCTTCTTAACGAAGCAGCTGGCGCCACGGCCGCCATGTCCACCGCCATCCCCATACGTCCCGGTGGGTACACCACTGGTCTGGTCGGGCGGGTCACCGCCGAGCGCGGTGGTGTCGATAGCTGCGTCGTCGCCGAGCGTGATGTTGGCCGCTGCGAGGGAGACCCACCCGGCCACGACGCGGGCCCTGTTCCCGAATAGGAGATCACCGGAGAGGTTGGCAGAGACGACGCACCCGGGCCGCTCGCAGGTGACCGCGACGCCGTCGAGGATTACGAGGCTGCCGCTGCCGCTGATGAACACTCCGCCGCCCAGCCTCACCGACTCATGGACCACGCACTGGGTGTCAAGGTCTCCCACGCCGCGGAGGTCCCCGGCGCAGGTCGCTGCCGGGGCCGCCGGCGGCGGCGGCAGCGCGGGGGGCGGGGGCGGCGTGTAGTCGTGGAACGTAAGGATCGAGTATTCGTCCGCGCCGGGGGGCTCCCCCCGATCGAAACCTCCTAGGCTAGGGCCTGGGGCCCCCGATGCGACGGCGAGGAGGGCAAGGAGGAGGAGAAGGAAGCCAGTGGCGGGGGAAGGGAATGTGGAAGGCCATGGGGTGGGAAGCATCAGAGCTCCAGCGCCGCGGGTTTGTGATAAGGACAAGGCAGGGATTAGTGCGGCGGCGGCGGCTGATCGCCGGCGACGGCGAGGTGGGAGGTCGGGGCTCGGGTTTGGTGATGGTTCGGCCTCCGCTCCGCTGGGGCTTGTTTGCTTTCCACTCTTCTCTTCCGTTAGCGAATTGGGGATGGCAGCGGGGGCCGTCGGTTTTGCTTTAAGATTCGAGATAATAGGTGGGCCTTTGTTCGGTGGGGGGTGGGGCCACCGGGGCAGAGAGACATGCGCACGACGAGGGCGGCGTTTCGATTTATGGAAATGAAAGCTGGAGACTGTCTGTTTATGCGCGTAATTTAGCTTCAAAAATGGTAAATGGAAGTGTCTGGGCTGGACAGCATGTATTCTGGGAAAAGAAGGATTTAATTTTTAGTGTCGATATCAAAAGGCCAAAAATATTGTTGCACTTTCCTAACATGGTACTTACCTCCGTTTTCGTTTACTTGTCAGCAACTTTTTACTGTAGCAAATTTGACCATACGTTTTTTCTGCAAAAGATTTTTAGATACATCAAGTTTTCACATATATGATTCTTTATTAAACATACTTCATTAGTGTTATATACATTGAAGTATCTAAGATTTTTTTAGAAGAAAAAACAGATGGTCAAATTTGCTACAGTAAAAAGTTACTGACAAGTAAACACAAACGGAGGTAGTAGGATAGAGTGTAAATCTTCCGCCACGAGTTTCGTCCACGTCAAGCTCTCGTTGTAGTAGGCTTAAGGGGCAGAGTAATCCTAAATAGATTCCAAGTCTATTAGCATCCGATGGACAATTCCCGTGGCACGATCTGTTCATCGTTATCCAAACGGCAGTGCTAGCCACCGGATGTTCGAAGGCCGCACCTGCACTCCATCTCCCCGGCGCACCTGCATCCGCGGCTGCCTACGTGGGGCCCGCACCGCCCGACTACACATGGGGAGTCCCCGCTCGCGTCTCCTCCGCTTTCTCACACGCATGCACGCGGCTAACAGTTACAACAGGTGACTACAGCAAGTGGCTATGCCAGCATCCCAAAGAAGAGGAGGGGGTGACGGATGCCCAGCCACACCGAGGCGAAGGTGAGGCATCAGAAAAGTGAGGACAGAGATGCAACACTCGATCTACTTTTGAAACATCTGGATACAATACTTGCAACATACGATTGAAGGTAGATGAAACACATAAAACATGCATCTAAACACATTAGTTGCACCACCAGATCTACTTTTGAAACATCTAGATGAAACACTTGCAACAACGTATGAAACAACTAAAACACTCGAAACATGCGTATGAAACACTTGCAAAAAATACCTGAAAACACTAAATATATGTGTGAAAATATATGCAACATCCAGATAAAACACTTACAAACATATGTCTAGAAAATAAGATGAAATATTTGGAACATACACTTGAAACATACGTATATAGCCACTGCAACATGTGCAACATTTCGATTTACTTTTGCAATATCAAGATGAAACACTTGCAACATCCAGATGAAAACATCTGAAACACTTTAAACATACTCTTACAACATGGGCTATGCTTGGACGAATGGAGGCACGCCGGCGCGGAGGTCGACGGCGGCACATGGACCTCGTTGTGTGGGCAGTGGCATGGGCAACTCACCGACAGGCGTGACATCACACGAATCTTGTCCCCCTCGCCTGCTTGCTAGAGCATCCGTCGTGCAGGCTTACTGGCTCGGTGGAGGCTGGCGAGACAAACTAGGCTCGGTGGGGAATGCGGCGTGGATGAGGCACAGGGGATGGGCGCCGCGCAGGGAGGGCACCGGCAGCGGTGAGGCGGAGTGGGGTGGGCGGATGGGCACGGCGACGCAGGGAGGAAACGGTGCAGTCAGCATCTGGGCGTGCGGACGAGATGAGCGGATAGTGTCACTGGGTGAGCGGCACATGCGGGAGTGATAGGAGGGAGGCATCTGTTCGTCCGAACATATTAATTGTATCATTATCGTTATCCAAAAGATACACTTTGGTTTTCTATTTCTCTTATATACAAGAATAAAATCTAAATAATAATATGTGAAATTTTAGGGTACTATTATAGTTGTGAAGAATTATTAAATACCATGATGTCTATAATGATCTGTTTGATACCATAATCTAGAGTTTAGTTGACTAAAGTGAAGGACTAAATTTTAGCCACTAAATCAAGATCACGATGAAGTTGTTTTGGACTATGGACTAAAGTTTAGGTCGAACTTAATAAAGACTTTTGTGGCCCTAGATTTCTCTTGGGCACTCGTACTTGATAGAGTATTGAGCCAGTCATTCTCTGCCAAGCCCGAGCTACCGAGCCGCCATCGCCATCCCCATCGAGAAGACGCCGACGTAGTAGCCATCAGGTCCTAGTGTCACCGCCGTTGCCAGGAGCTCTCCAATGTGTGGCAGAACCGCCCAAAATAGCACACTTACGGAGGCGCTCGTCTTCCACCAGACACTAAGCACCCTGAAAGCAAGCTACCGCGGGCGGTATCCGTCGGGCACACCCCGAGGGAGAACCCGAAAGATCCACATTTTTCCCAAGGATCCAATAATAAGAACGAGTTACAATACAAGTCTATTTCATACATCTAAGTTTCTTAAAAAGTATATTATTACAATACCAAATACCAGAGTGCGGAATTATAACAGCGGAATTTAAAAATAACATCTAGCGGTAAGGGGCGAGGATTCCGTTTGAGCCCACCAGAAGGGTCCTCCACACAAAAGTACTCCTCAAGCATCACCTGCAACAAGAGTGAATAAACCCTGAGTACACAATGTACTCGCAAGACTTATCTGACTAGTGGGAATAATTTCACGACTCCAAGGAATATGATAGGCTTTATGGTTTGCTGGTTTTCTTTAGCAGAAAGCAATACTAATAGTGAGTCCCTATTTATGTATTATTATTGTCAGCCGTATTAAGTTATCATCTAGCCAGTCTATATAAGCACATGTTCTACTTTCAAGCAAAAGTTGAGCAATCAGTTTTGTTTCTTCTTCTTTTCCACTTTTAGTTCTTACTACGGTGCTAAACCGCAGACAAACCGTCTTCCTATTTCCGGCGATTCACGAATCAATGTGCCCATCTGGGTGCCCCTAATCTATCCACCCGCTTGTACCCTAGGCAAAAGTCAGACTAACCCATCACTCTCACCCGTGTGTCGGGTCCCCTCAAATTTTGACTCTAAGCCCCCACTCTAAAGTCCCGACTCGGAAAGAATGGTGCAATGACCTCCACCATCCCGCCTCTAATCGATCGGTCCGGAAGAGCCGGATCCGCGACAAGAGAGCAAGTCTTCCTCATGCCCATACCCAAGTATGCACTCTCGGACAATAAATCTGTTGGACTTGCCTAGAGTCATATGCAATGACCGGTCCTTAATCAACACATGTTTTTAGGAAAAAAATATAACCAAGTCATGCCTCAATGGCCGCAGGACACAACCCCTCACACCCATAAGGCACTCAATCCATATCCCCCATCCGGTTGCCATTTCCTTTCCACCATTTTATCATGAGTGTTCATATTTATTATCTATTTGCGAGTAACGGCAATTACTACTCACGCTTCCATCGATATCCCAACATATAGCGACTACTCGACCTTTACTAGTATGACTCATGGGTATGTATGTTTATGCAGGTAGTTTACATAAAATGCCTGTAACTTAAATGCACATCACACATATATATATTCAATGATCATAAAAATATAGGTTATGCTCTGGGGCTTGCCTTGGCAAAGGCTTTCATGTGTGAGTCGGGTCCGTGAGTCAACACTTTCTCTCTTTTTCCCTCCAGGCTTCGCTTCTCCCCAAGTTCGAGGATCTCCTACTCATACTCCTCGATCACCTCGTCATTGTGTGTGCAGCTCGTGGGGGTGAGACCGACGATCTAAATCTACTAGTTCGTGATCTACATAAAATGATGATGCAATGTTTAATAATAAGACAACAGCAACCCTTAACCTAAAAGTATATCTATTAAACTACTAAGTGAGGTCTACCCACTAAAGACTAAGCTACGGCATATCACACCGCTAACAAGTATGAAACATGACATACATTCTTATAGCAACTACACCACGATGGTTACTCCTAATACTGTCGATTTAATCAAATACGATAAAACAAGAGTAATAGCTATTTTATTTAATATCACATTCTAAGGCTACAAAATTTATAGCCAATTTAGACATGGCAACCTAGTGGACCTAGAGTTTGAAAATTTTAAAATGGCTATATCTATCACCAATTATCCATAAATATTCCTAAAAGTATTAACCTACCTAATATTAGCTCTCTAGTTTGGAATTTATGACCCAATACTCACCACGCCTAACTGCAAATCCAACTGCCATTATCCAAATAGATGATATTTTTGCGAACCTAACACAATTAGTCTCACTATTTTTGACAACTATGCAATTTACTACGATTTTATCGAAGTTCAATTCATAACTAAAATGAATAAACATTTCTAATTTAAAACGAATTTAAGGAAACCAAATACTACCCCTCGCCCAACTCATAAAAGCCCACTGAAAAACAGCCCACTTTGTTGTTAATTACTTGCTTGCCAAGACGCCAAAGAAGCCTCATTACATACACAGGCCTTATGCTAGCCGGCCAACGACGCCATTCTCGCCAAATGCGAAACACCCCCGATCTACTTGGCATTTACAACAGCTCTAATCACTACTATTTCACTAGTCTATGCTTTTACGCACACGCCCTCCCCTCCTCCTTCTATATCATGGGCGATGTCCCCCGCACCCGTCTGCACGCGATCGACGATGACCAGGTAGAACACCGGTGTGCCACGCCGCATCATCTAAGCCTCTAAGGCTAGCTAAGGGCCGGCCTCTACTTCAACGCCAATGGTGGGAAACGACACGCCGGCGAAAGGTGGGCGGACGCCTCACTTCCTCTCCGGCGGAGAGCCCGTTACCAACAAT